CACTGCACTCCAGCCCGGGCGACAGAGCGAGACTCTGTCTCAAAAAAAAAAAAAAAAAAAAAAAATTAAAAACTGGCTGGGTGCTGTGGCTCACCTCTGTAATCCCAGCACTTTGGGATCTATTGAGCCCAGGAGTTCAAGACCAGCCTGGGCAGGATGGCAAAACCCTGTCTTTACTAAAAATACAGAAATTAGCTGGGCGTGGTGCTGTGCACTTGTAATCTCAGCTACTAGAGAGGCTGAGGCAGGAGAATTGCTTGAACCTGGGAGGCAGAGGTTGGAGTAAGCTGAGATCATGCTACTGCACTCCAGCCTGAGCAACAGAGCGGAAACTCTTGTTTTGACAAAAAATAATAAAGGGAATTAAAAAAAAAAAAAAGATGTGCATGAGACTGTATGTGGCTCACAAACGCTAAAATATGTAACACTCTGGCTCTTTACAGAAAAGTTTGCCAACCTTATTGACCTTTGGGTTAGAAAGGACTTACATTTTTGAGTCACATGTTTCTGAAGAGCTGATAAAAGCTGTGGATCCTTTCCCCTAGAATAATGTCCACATGCACATATGTATAATTTTGCTTATCATTTCAAGGCATTAAGGACTAATTTTATTCAAAAAAATTAGAAGAATTCAGCCATAGTAAATATTAATAAACAAAGAATGAACCAATTGTTTTTCTTAAGGGACAATTATTTTGTGTTTTTTCGTGAAACTACACAAGTCTTAAAACTGAGGTAGCGGCCGGGCGCGGTGGCTCAAGCCTGTAATCCCAGCACTTTGGGAGGCCGAGACAGGTGGATCACGAGGTCAGGAGATCGAGACCATCCTGGCTAACACGGTGAAACCCTGTCTTTACCAAAAAAATACAAAAAACTAGCCAGGCGAAGTGGCGGGCGCCTGTAGTCCCAGCTACTCGGGAGGCTGAGGCAGGAGAATGGTGTGAACCCGGGAGGCGGAGCTTGCAGTGAGCTGAGATCCGGCCACTGCACTCCAGCCTGGGCGACAGAGCGGGACTCCGTCTCAAAAAAAACTGATGTAGCTTGACAAACTTCTGTCTTCCCAGGCCCTCTTCATACTCCCAGAGCTTCTGATTTAATAGGGCCAAGAGGGCGTGGGCACTGGTATTCTGAAGTCCTCTAGATGATGATTTCTTTCATCTCCATTGAGGAGGATATTTCACAATATTTGAAGACTTAGAGGTTTATCCCACCTCAGGAAACCATGGAACTTTCCTGCCGCAGAGCATCCCTCATCCTACCTGTAGCTGATCCTGCTATAGAGATGGGGTATCAAGAGCAGAGGAATTGCAAGCAGATAGGGATTGTGTGGGACCCATCCTGACCCCATTTTGCTTCTCTGCAGGAAGTTGGAGCTGCCATCTATGTCTGGACCTGTTGAAGGAGAAAGCTTCCATCTACCAGAACCAGAACTCCTCTTGATGTGGCCACCCCCTGCTCCCCGACATATCTAAGGCTGTTTCTCTCCTCCACTTCATATTTCATACCCATCTTTCCCTTATTCCTCCTCTCCTTCACAAGTCCAGAGAACCTTGGGGTGGTTGTGCCAGCCTGCCTTTGGCAGCTGCAAGCTGAGGTGGCAGCTCTGACCACCTCTGGCCCCAGGCCCTCAGGGAGAAAGGAGCAACACACTGCCCCTAGGCGTACGTGTGGCCCAGTTTCTCTCTGCTCTCCATTAAGTGCATTCACTCTGCTTGCCTTGGGCCCAGGCCCTGGTGATCACAGGGTTCAAACAGTGTCCTCCTAGAAAGAGTGGGAGAGCAGCTCACTTCTCTCTGTTTTTCCTCCACTCTGGTCTCCAGAGTTTTCCCATCCCCCAGAGGCAAGCCAGGCCAGGGAGCTGGGAGCGAGCAAGCTGAGGCCACGTCCACAAGGAGCTTTCCATGCCCCTGTGCCACATAGCCTCACCTCTTTCCTCCAGAGTGGCTCTCTGCGGCCCTCTGTTCCTGCTACAGAGGGTTCTTTGCTGGAGTCAGGATGTTCTCAGTCACCCTTCTGGCTCTGCCCTGTCCCACTCCACCCTACCCCAGGGGGAACAGCAGCTTCACCTTGTTACTCCCAGTGCTCTCTTGGCTCACTCTTATGGGCGGTCTCCAGTGACTGAAGCATTCCCTACCCTTGGAATTTCTCATCTTCTGCCTCCCTTCTTACTCCTTTTGGCTTTGTGGGGAGAGGGGAAGGATCAGGGGGCCAGGCCAGCAGCTCGGGGGCTACAGGGAGATGGATAATGTGCCTGTTTTTTAACACGACAAAAAAGCCTACCTCCAAAATCCCCTTTTTGTTCTTCCTGGACCTGGGCATTCAGCCTCCTGCTCTTAACTGAATTGGGAGCCTCTGCCACCTGCCCCGTGTATGCTGGCTCTCAGCTCATGGGGAAGCCACATAGACATCCCTTTCTTCCCTTGCACGCTCGCTAGCAGCTGGTAAGGTCTTCACACCCTGATTCCTCAAGTTTTCTGCTTAGTGGCACTGACATTAAGTAGTGGGGGGACAGTCCATGCCAGGACACCCTGGAGTAGCCTTCCCCGTTGGCCGCGGGCAGGCCCTAACTCACTGTCGCTTTGGAGTTGAGGTGTCTTTTTTTTCTTTCTTTAGTTCCTGTATTCTAAACATTAGTAAAAATAAATGTTTTTACACAGAGCCCTCTGCTGGATGGTTTATCTCCTGCCTCTCTCCATTAAGAAGGCCATTTCATGTTAAGATTTCCATGATGGTGGTTTTTTTTTTTTTTTTTAAAAAGTTTTGAAATACAGCTTTTTTCCCCCAAATTAAAATTTTTTGGTGGAACCCCAATATGTAAAGCAAATATAAAATTGGTTATTTTGTTAGTCTTAATTTATTACATAAATTCAAGTTTATAACAATTATTTGTTATAAAGAACAATGAAGCTGTTTTGATCAATACAAAATTTGGGTTAAAATCAACTTTAACATCCATTTTTGTGTTTCAGTTGGTTTGGAGAAAATTCTGTTAGTCTTGGATACATAGATGGAAGTGGTGACAGGTTTATAACAGTTGACCTTGCAATCTCAGACATTTAAAGCAGGACCAGAAGTTTATATAATAATAAGCAAACTAATGACATCACCATGGGACACACAGAAGTTCTTGCAGGAGCAGGGTCTGTGTGGCTTCAGTTGCCTGCAGTGCTCCCAGGCCAGAGCAAGTGCCCGAGGGTCTGAACTGCCCGCAGTGCAGCCCTGCAGCCTTTCCCAGGGCACGTTGATGTGCACAAAGTAAGTTTCCCTGAAGACAAAGTGAACATGTTGACAGCTTACATGGCAGCATATATGTCCTGAGTGTGTGTTTTAGAAGTCCAACTGTTGTTTTTATGTTTTTGTTTTTTTTGTTTGTTTGTTTTGTTTTTGAGACGGAGTCTCGCTCTGTTTCCCAGGCTGGAGTGCAGTGGCCAGATCTCAGCTCACTGCAAGCTCCGCCTCCCGGGTTCCCGCCATTCTCCTGCCTCAGCCTCCCGAGTAGCTGGGACCACAGGCGCCGCCACCTCGCCCGGCTAATTTTTTGTGTTTTTAGTAGAGACGGGGTTTCGCCGTGTTAGCCAGGATGGTCTCGATCTCCTGACCTTGTGATCCGCCCGTCTCGGCCTCCCAAAGTGCTGGGATTACAGGCTTGAGCCACCGCGCCCGGCTGTTTTTATGTTTTTAAAGGAAATACTTGAATCAAGCAGTTATGGGCCCCCTGAAGTATCCTTTTTTCTAGAACATTCTGAAAGTCATCCTTGCGTATGGAAAGCCTAGGCCTACCTGCACTGTTATGTTCAGTAAATAAGCAGGGTGCTCTGGACTGGGGATTGTGTGAGGAGCAGAGCGCAGCCCGTCCTCATGCTTGTCCACTGAAGTAGGCCAGGCGGAGAGGGAGTAAAGCAATGAATGCTCTTTGGCGGCTGAGTAGTCCAAGAGCCAGAAAAGAAATGTTCAAATTAAGAAGGCTATAGCAGGCCAAAGTGAGGAAATTTAGGGTTTGCTGGAGGTGGGATTTGAGATGGGTCTTGGAGAGTTGGACAGTGTCAGCCGGTAGGATGGGGTTGCAGACGGAAGCCTGTGAGAAAGGCAGAGGATGCGGAGCAGTGAGGCTGGAGAGCAGCTGGGCTGCGGATCAAGACGTCTGCGTTTAATTAGGGACTGAAGGTTAGCAGGGAAGGGAACGATACCAGATCTTGAATTTAAGAACTTGAATCTTGTAAAGTACCAAATCTAATAAAAATTAGTCCTTAGTCGTCCTAAATCAGAACTGGCCCAGGCACACAGTGTTTCCGTGGCCGACAGACGAGCCAGCGCTGTCCATGGTAACCAGCTTTTGTGTGGCTTAAAGCTTGCATCCATTTTCTCCTTTCATCGTTTTCCCAAAACAACTCCGTGAGGGCCGTTAGCCCTGCTTGGTAGACGAAGAAGCCGAGGCGGCCTAGGGTCACGGCCAGGGAGCCTTTGGGACGCCAAGTCAGCTCGGTGGTCCTCATGCCGCCTACAAGGCTCGTCGGGCCCTCGAGGTCCGCGGCTACTGGAGGCACCCGGGGATGTCCTGCAGGTTCCTGGCTCCGCCTCCCGCCCCTCCTCGCTAGAAGCTCCGCCCCCAGGGGGCTCGACGAACCGCCACTTCCGCGGCGTCCATTGAAACTTGGCCGGGGGAGGGACGGGGCGCCACTGAGGGCCAGTCTGCTTGGGCCGGGGCGGGGCTGCAGCGGGTGGGTGCAGAAGGGCCGCATCGCGGACTTCGGAGCCGGGAGAGAGCCCGGCGCGGGCGGCGCGCACGGGGCCCTGCTGTGCGCGCGCCCGCCCGCCGCCCGCGCAGCCCCTCGGCCCGCTGTGCCCTTGGGGTCGTGGCGCCCATCCCTCCCCTGTTCTGCTGTCGCCGCCCGGACAGGGGCTCGGGAGCCGGGCTAGGGGCAGGGGCTGGAGCCTCGGGACCAGCGCCTGAGGTGGGTGCGGAGCGGGAGGCCGGGCGGGCGGGCGCCTGGGGCCACCCCGCCGACAGACTCCGGGTCGAGGGGGAGTGACCGGCCAGGGCGCGGAGCCCGGCTGCCGGCCTTCCTGGGTTCAGGCGATAGTCCCGGCGCCCTGGGACCCTCCCAGGCGACCACCCTCCCAGCGGGGACACCCCGCCCCTCCGCTGCCTGCAGCCTCCTCAGGCCTCCCGCCCTTTGTCGCTCGTGCACCTGCGCTCTCGCCCTGCCTCTCGCTCCCCTCAGGGCGGACCCTCGCCCAGCCTCCCTTTCAGGACCCGGCACCAAATTAGCCTCGCTCCTTCAGACCCCCTCTGTCCCCTTTGTCGTCTGTACACCTGTCACCTCAACTCTGTGTGCATCCACCCACCTCCCCGCCCCCAGCGGCGTCATCTGAATACAGCCCAGGCCGCCTCCCACTCCCTCCCGGGGCTCCTCCCCTGCTGCCCCGTAGCCCACACCTGCCCCGAGGCCCCAGCCCGAGGCCCTCCCCGTCCGTGCGCCTTTGTTATCTCTGCAGCTGTCCCCTCCACTCTTCATCCTTCTCCCCCAGTGAGGCCAGACCCCAGCCCAGACTCCCTGTCCTTCTGAGCGGAGAGACGCCCCTCCCCAGCTCTGCCCTGGCATCCTGGGGACGAGGCCAGCTGGCTTCCACTCGGCCTAGCCACTTTCCTGCCTCTTCCGGCGGGTCCAGTCTCCCCTGGTGCCTGCGCACGTCCTCATCTAATCTCTTTCCCTCCTGCGCTCCTCTCCTAGCCCCCCCGGCCTCAGCTTACTCTACCCGCTCATTCTTTCCTCCCCGCACAGGTGCCCCGGAGAGGCCATGGAGCTGAGCAGCAAGAAGAAGCTTCACGCCTGTCCCTGGCCGAGAAGATCAGGTGCTGGAACTTCTGGATGAGTCCAAGATGTCCCAGTCGGAGGTGGCCCGGCGCTTCCAGGTTTCCCAGCCCCAGATCTCGCGCATCTGCAAGAATAAGGAGAAGCTGCTGGCGGACTGGTGCAGCGGCACAGCCAACCGAGAGCGCAAGCGCAAGCGGGAGTCCAAGTACAGCGGGATCGACGAGGCTCTGCTCTGCTGGTACCACATTGCCCGGGCCAAGGCCTGGGACGTGACGGGGCCCATGCTGCTCCACAAAGCCAAGGAGCTGGCCGATATCATGGGCAGGACTTCGTGCCCAGCATCGGCTGGCTGGTCCGCTGGAAACGCCGAAACAACGTCGGCTTTGGGGCCCGCCATGTTCTTGCTCCTTCATTCCCCCTGAGCCACCTCCCCCAGGCCTCACATCCCAGGCTCAGCTGCCTCTTTCCCTAAAAGACTTCTCTCCAGAGGACGTGTTTGGCTGTGCTGAATTGCCCTTACTGTATCGGGCAGTGCCTGGCAATTTGGGTGCATGTGATCAAGTACAGGTGCTGCTGTGTGCCAACAGCAGGGGCACTGAGAAGCGGCGAGTATTGCTGGGGGGGCTCCAGGCTGCCCCGAGATGCTTCTTTGGGGTCCGCAGTGAGGCTCTGCTGCCTCCTACCACCCTGACCTGGGCGTCCCCTGGTTAGAGTGGTTGGCACAGTTTGACCGGGACATGGGACAGCAGGGCCGACAGGTGGCTTTGCTGCTGGCTGCCCGAGTGGTGGAGGGACTGGCAGGCCTGCCTGGGCTCTACCACGTGAAGCTCTTGCCTCTGGCCGCCTCTAGCACCACGCCTCCCCTGCCCAGCTCAGTGGTCTGGGCCTTTAAGGCCCATTACCGACACCGGCTGTTGAGCAAACTGGCTGCCATCCAAAGCGACAGGGATGGCACCTCGCTGGCTGAGGCCGCGGCGGGCATCACCGTGCTGGACGCCTTGCACGTGGCGTCTGCCGCCTGGGCCAAGGTGCCGCCTCAGCTCATTTCAGCAGCTTCGTTCAGGAAGGGCTGGCTCCCGGCAAACGCCCCCGTCTCGCACAAAGCCTCTGAGATGCCACCAGTTCCCGGCGGGCTGAGCCTAGAGGAGTTTTCCCGCTTTGTGGACCTGGAGGGTGAGGAGCCAGGGCCTGGAGTGTGTAAAGAGGAGACAGGCACCGAAGACGAGGAGAGGGACAGAGAGGGTGCCTTTGAGCCCCCGCCCACGAAAGCTGATGCCCTCCAGGCCCTGGGCACCTTGAGGAGGTGGTTTGAGTGCAACAGCACTTCTCCTGAGCTGTTTGAAAAATTCTACGACTGTGAGGAGGAGGTGGAGCGGCTTTGCTGCCTATGAAGGCACCTTTGCTGCTTGCCAGAGCCCCTCCTCTCCTGTTTCCCATGGAAACGGCCTCTCAGAAGGCAGATCCGGGCTGTCTCTTTCCTGTGGAAATAGAACTGTCATAAAGGTGTAGAAGGGAGAGAAGTTGGGACACCAAGTCTGAGCGTGGAGTGGCAGTCGTCCAAGCCCCAGAAGAGAGCTCTAAAGATGGGGCTTCAAGGGTAGGAATCCAGGCTACTTAGTTTCCTTGCTTGAAAGTTATAGAGCCTTAGAAAGGGAGTTAGTCTAGAGGCGGGCGCTTAGAAAGCTGGAGTGTGGGCTTTTGGACAGACTTCTTCCTTGAACTCTGTTAAAAACAGTTCTGCTTCTGGAAATAAGTTTTAATCAGATAAGAGGCCAGGGTGTTATTTTCGTGGGAGAAGGGTAAAAATTTTCCATTCAGATTTAGAAAATTAATTGCTGATGGTCGCTGCGGTGCAGCTGTCTGTCCATGAGCAGTAGGGATCCTCCTCTTCCGGATATTCAACAGCAAGGACTCTCAGGGCACGGGCACTGCTTGTGGGCTACCCTCCTGAGAAGGAAGCTCCAGGACAGACAGATCCCAGCTACTGCCCCAGAGAAGCTGCAGCTCCAACAGTTCCAATAGCTCTCAGATTGTGTGGGGTTGGGCAGGCTACGGACATGTCAGGGAAACAGAAAGGAGCTGGAATTGGAATGGAATAGTCATTCATTCTTTTTTTTTTTCATTTGCTCAATTCACAATATCACTTCAGCAAGGCGTCCTATGTGAACAAGTTGCAAAGATGGTGTCTCTGCTGGGCAGAACCTTGCAGCCCATGACAGTGGAGTGTGATTAAGGCTGTAATAACGGCTGTTCAGAGTGCTTGGCCCCACACAGCTAGGGAGACTCCAGGGGGAGGCGAGCTTTGAGCTGCAATTTGAAGGGCGTCCCAGACCAAGGGACAGCATGCGCAGAGTCTGACTGGAGTGAAGGAGCACAGTGTGCTGGGGCGGGGGCAGGCAGGTCTGCCAGGGCATGGCATACTTGCGGAGGTAGGGGTGGAGTGCAAGGAGAGACCTGGAGGGTAGGAAGGGCCTTTAGCCAACCAAGCTTAGGGGTAGGACAGAAGGGGTGGCCTGCTCCTCTACACCTGTGGGCGTTTCTCGTTAGGTGGAACAAGAGACTTGAGAAAAGAAATGAGACACAAAGTATAGAGAAAGAAAAAGTGGGCCCCGGGGACGCTCAGCATACAGAGGACCCACGCCGGCACCGGTCTCTGAGTTCCCTCAGTATTTACTGATCATTATCTTTACCATCTTAGAAGTGGCAGGATAATAGGATCATTATAGGGAGAAAGTCAGCAGTAAGACATATGAATAAAGATCTCTGTGACATGAATAAGTTTAAGGAAAAGTGCTATGCCTTGATATGCAGATGCAAACATCTCCATAAACCTTTTTAGTGCATAAAGAGCAGCATTGCCACCTTCAGCCCTAAGGCGGTTTTCTCCTTTCTCAGTAAACAGAACATACAATCGGGTTTTAAACCAAGATGTTCCATTGCCCAGGGATGGGCAGGAGACAGATGCTTTTCTCTATCTCAACTGCCAAGAAGCCTTCTTTCCTCTTGTACCGGTCCCCCTCAGCACAGACCCTTCACGGGTGTCAGACTGGGGGACGATCAAGTCTTTCCCTTCCCACGAGGCCATATTTCAGCCTATCACATGGGGAGAAACCTTGGACAATACCTAGCTTTCCTAGGCAGAGGTCCCTGTGACCTTCCGCAGTGTGCTTGTCCCTGGGTACTTGAGATTAAGAGAATGGTGATGACTTTTAACCAGCAAGCTGCCTTCAGGCACTTGTTTAACAAAGCACACCCTGCACAGCCCAAAATCCTTTAAACCTTGAGTCACCACAGCACATGTCTCTTGCAAGGACAAGGTTGGGGGTAGGGTCACAGATTACCAGCATCTCAAATACAGAACAAAATGGAGTCTCTTATGTCTGCTTCTTTCTGTATAGACACAGTAACAGTCTGATCTCTCTTTCTTTTCCCCACAGTGACAATGTAGATAAGCCGGGAGAGCATTATACAAAGTGAAATAAGCCAGGTACAGAAAGACAAATACTGGGCCAGGCTTCCTGCGTGGCTCATGCCTGTAATCCCAGCACTCTGGGAGGCAGAGGCAGGTGGATCACCTGAGGTCAGGAGTTTGAGACCAGCCTGGCTAACATGGTGAAACCCCATTTCTATTAGACATATAAAAATTATATAAAACAAATATTGATTTGTTTAAAGGGCCTTAAGAGGAGTGATCCTGTCTATCTTGTTCTGTAACCTATATTGCAGCAATTTTCTATTTCTCCCTCTAGTTGGAAGGCAACTTAGAACAGGACTGTGTCTTCCTTATCTTTGTTGCCCGGGAGACTTAGGTGCCATCCAAACATAGAAGGTGTTCATTAGAGGCTTGGAAATACACTGAAATAACACATAACATCTTTGTCCTTCCCTCCCCTGCCTTGGTGTACATGTGGCAACACTTGCAGAATTGGATAGGATTGCCTGGCCTTGATAAAAGCTGAGGTCTGTTGGGAATAGTAGATGCTGCCTTTGCTGCCTCTCTTTCCTTTCTATCCTACCTCTTAGGATGTCCAAGCAACTGTGGGAGCTTCCTAACTTACTTGGTCTTGAATTTCCACATTTGCTCCCCATCTCCCCATCTGTTTTTCACACAGCAACTAGAATGAGATGATGATGATGATGATGATGATGATGATGATGATGATTTGAGACGGAATTTCACTCTGTTGCCCAGGCTGGAGTACAGTGGCGTGATCTCAGCTCACTGCTGTGGGGAAAAGAAAGAGATCAGCCTGTTACTGTGTCTATATAGAAAGAAGTAGACATAAGAGACTCCATTTTGTTCTGTATTTGAGATGCTGTTAATCTGTGACCCTACCCCCAACCTTGTCCTTGCAAGAGACATGTGCTGTGGTAACTCAAGGTTTAATGGATTTTGGGCGTGCAGGGTGTGACTTTGTTCCTAGAAAAGCTAGGTATTGTCCAAGGTTTATCCCCATGTGATAGGATGAAACAATGTTGCTAAAAGGTTTATCTCAAGGCACAGGATTTACCTTTAAACTTATTCATGTCACAGATCCTTGTTCTTATGTCTTACTGCTAATTTCCTCCCTAAAAATGATCCTATTGTCCTGCCACTCCCTTATCCTTAAGATGGTAAAGATAATTATCTATAAATACTAAGGGAACTCAGAGGCCGGTGCCGGCGTGGGTCCTCTGTAAGGTGAGCGCCGGTCCCCTGGGCCCCGCTTTTCTTTCTCTATACTTTGTCTCTGTGTCTTATTTCTTTTCTCAAGTCTCTCGTTCCACCTAACGAGAAACACCCACAGGTGTGGAGGGGCAGGCCACCCCTTCATCTGGCGCCCAACGTGGGGCTTTTCTCTAAGGTGAAGGTACGCTGGAGCGTGGTCACTGAGGACAAGTCGACGAGAGACTCCCGAGTACGTCTACAGTCAGCCTTGCGGTAAGCTTGTGCGCTCGGAAGAACCTAGGGTAACAATGGGGCAAACTAAGAGTAAATATGCCTCTTATCGCAGCTTTATTAAAATTCTCTTAAAAAGAGGGGGAGTTAAAGTCTCTACCAAAAATCTAATTACGCTATTTCAAACAATAGAGCAGTTTTGTCCATGGTTTCCGGAACAGGGAACTTTAGATCTAAAAGATTGGGAAAAAATTGGCAAAGAATTAAAACAAGCAAGCAGGGAAGGTAAAATCATTCCGCTCACAGTATGGAATGATTGGGTCATTATTAAAGTAGCTTTAGAACCATTTCAAACAGAAGAAGATAGCGTTCCAATTTCTGATGTCCCTAAAAGCTGTGCAGTAGATTGTGAAAAAGAGGCAGGGATAGAATCCTGGAAAGGAAAGGAAAGTTCACACTGTGAATGTGTATCAGAGCCAGCTATGGCTCGGTCAACGCAAAATGTTGACAATAATCAATTACAGGAGGTAGTATATCCTGAAACGTTAAAATTAGAAGAAAAAAATCCAGAATTAGCAGAGCCATCAGAGTCTAAACCACGATGGCCAACTCCTCTTCCAGCAGCTCAAATGCCTGTAACTTTACAACCTCAAATGCAGGTTAAACAAGTACAAACTCCAAAAGAAGATCAAATAGAAAAAGATAGAGTCTCTGTCATGGCAATGCCATTCCAAATACAGTGTCCACAATATCAGCCGGTAGAAAATAAGACCCAGCTGCCAGTAGCCTATCAATACTGGCCGCCAGCCGAACTGCAGTATCGGTTGCCCCCAGAAAATCCGTGTGGACAGCCAGGAACATTTCCAGCGCCACAGGGCACGGTACCATATCCTCAACCGCCCACCATGAGACTTAATCCTACAGCACTGCCTAGTACACAGGGTAGTGCGTTACATAAAATTATTGATGAGGCAAGAAAACAAGGAGATATTGAGGCGTGGCAATTCCCAGTAATATTAGAAGCAAGACCACCTGGAGAAGGGGCCCAAGAGGGAGAGCTTCCCGTAGCTGAAGCCAGATATAAGTCTTTTTCTATAAAAATGCTAAAAGAAATGAAAGAGGGAGTAAAACAGTATGGACCCAACTCTCCTTACATGAGAACATTATTAGATTCCATTGCTCATGGACATAGACTCATTCCTTATGATTGGGAGATTCTGGCAAAATCCTCACTCTCACCCTCTCAATTTTTACAATTTAAGACTTGGTGGATTGATGGGGCACAAGTACAGGTCCGAAAATATAGGACTGCCAATCCTCCAATTGACATAGACGCAGATCAACTATTAGGAATAGGTCAAAATTGGAGCACTGTTGACCAACAAGTAATAATGCCAAATGAGGCCATTGAGCAAATCAGGGCTATCTGCCTTAGGGCCTGGGAGAAAATCCAAGACCCAGGAACCGCCTGCCCCTCCTTTAATACAATAAGACAAGGCTCTAAAGAGCCCTACCCTGATTTTGTAGCAAGACTTCAAGATGCTGCTCAAAAGTCAATTACCGATGAGAATGCCCGTAAGGTCATAGTGGAATTGATGGCATATGAAAACGCCAATCCTGATTGTCAATCAGCCATTAAGCCATTAAAAGGAAGGGTTCCCGCAGGATCAGATGTAATCTCAGAGTACGTTAAGGCCTGCGATGGAATTGGAGGAGCTATGCATAAAGCTATGCTTATGGCTCAAGCAATCACAGGAGTCGCTTTAGGAGGACAGGTTAGAACATTTGGGGGAAGATGTTATAATTGTGGTCAAATTGGTCAGCAAAAAAAGAATTGCCTAGTCTCAAATAAACAAAATGTATCTACTCAAGCTACTACAACAACAGGT